CAAGTAATACTCCCACCTCAGCCTCCCGAGTAGCTGTAACTTATTATTATTATTTTTTTTGTAGAGAAGGGTTTCGCCCGTTGCCCGGGCTGGTCTTGAACTCCTCGACTCAAGAAGCTATCCTCCTGCCTCTCTCTTCCAAAGTGCCCCAAATTACAGGCATAGCTACCACATCTGGAATAAATTTTTATATTAAAACAGTTTAGATTTTAAAACTGAAAGCAGCAAGGCTCTGAAGCAGTGGCTCATGCCTGCCCAATCCTGGCACTTTGGGAGGCTGAGGCGGGAGGAATCATGGGCCCAGGAGTTCGAGACCAGCCTGAGCAACACAGCGAAACCCTGTCTCTACAAAAAATACAAAAATTAGCCGGGCGTGGTGCTGCACACCTGTAGTACCAGCTACTCGGGAGGCTGAGGTGGAAGGATCGTTTCAGCCCAGGAGGTTGAAGCTACAAATACATTTTCTTCTCCAGAGAACCCTGCCACATGATAAATTGAGAAAAGAGCTCTTACAAAGAGATTTCAGAGTAGAAAGAACTTGCTGAGCCAAGTTCATGCCACTGCTCTCCACCCTGGTTGACAGAGTGAGACCCTGTCTTATAAAATAATAATAAAATTAAAAAATAAAAATCCAAAGATAATATATAGAGTTTCCATATACTCCATACTCAGCCTTCCCTATTATTGGCATCTTGTTTAGTAGTATGCTTGTAACAAACAGTGAACCAATATTGATCTGTTTACACACTTCATTCAGCTTTCTTTAGTTTTCCTGAACATCTTTTTTCTGTTTAGGGATACTACATTACTTTTATTTTATTTATTTTATTTTTTGAGACACAGCCACACTCTGTCACCCAGGCTGTAGTGCAGTGGCACAAAGATGACTCACTGCAGCCTTGACCTCCTGGGCTCAAGTGATCCTCCCACCTCAGCTTCCCAGAGTGGCTGCAGGACTACAGTGCCCACTACCACGCCCGGCTAATTTTTGTATTTTTAATAGAGATGGGGTTTCGCCATGTTAGTCAGGCTGGTCTCGAACTCCTGGCCTCAAGTGATCTACCCACCTCCGCCTCCCAAAGTACTAGGAATACAGGTATGAGCCCCTGCACCCGGCCAGGACACCACATTGCTTTTAATCATCATGTCTCCTCTGGCTCCTCTTGACTGTGGCAGTTTCTTAGACTTTATGCTGACCTTATTCGTTTTGAGAAGAGCTGATCAGGTATTGTGTTTAATGTCCTTGACAGGATGTATCTGATGCTTTTCTCATGATTAGGTGGAGTTAAGGACTTTTCTGAGAAGACCACAAGATAACATTTTCATCATATCATACCAAGAATAAACTATCCCCATAAATTATCACTGTTGATATTGACCTTGATCATCTTGCTGAATTAGTATTGTCAGATTTCTCTGGTGCTTAAAGTTACTTTTTCTCCCTTTCCATTCTGTTCTCTTTGGAAGGGAGTCACTCACTATAATGATCCACACTTAGGAGTGAGGAGTTAGAGCTCCTTGAGGACAGAACATGCCCACAACTCTTGAATTCTTTTGGCACCCTGGATTTGTCTGTTCTTCCTCATTGGTTTGTTTATTCAATCATGTATTTACATCAGCTTGGATAAATGACTATTTCATACTCTGGGATGCCATTGGAAACTACTTGATAAATTTTGTTGTTTTGCTTTGGGCATGAGAGCTCTTCGGACCGCCCCTTTGTCCTCTGGCATACCCCCCATCGCTGTGGGTTGTTGCTCCTGCTGTTTGAGGGCTTCATACTTTCTGACATTATACAAGATGCTCCAGGCTCATCTTGTATATTTCCTGCCCCTGTCCTGGATATTTCTCAGAAGTAAGTAGTTCTCTTTGTTGGAGAATGGTGTCAGAAAACTAAGATCTGGGTGTGGTGTGCTTACTTCTAAGACCCTCTCAGCTGACAAGCCAAGATATAGTGTGCGTGTGTGTGTGTGTGTGTACACATGTGTATACATACAAGTATATGTACATATGTGTATATATACACACGTATACATACACGTATAAGTACATGTGTACATATACACACGTGTATACATACACGTATATGTACATATGTGTGTATATCTACACATGTATACATACAAGTATATGTACACATGTGTATATATATACAATGTGTATATACATCTGTGTATATGCATATGTACACACATATATGTACATATGCGCACATATATGTATGTGTGTGCATGTGTGCATGTGTGTGTGCATCTGTGTGTGCACATGTGCATGTGCGTGTGTGTGCACATGTGCACATGCACACCCATCTTCATGTGTCTTGTGGGTGTGTATGTGTTCATGTGTGTGCATGTGTGTGCATGTATGTGCATGTGTATGTACATATACATCTATACACTGTACACGTATATGCACATGTGTACATACACACACCTAACCCTTTGAAACACATATCTGTAATTATTTCCATATGCAACCATCCATATCTATATTAAGCTATTTCACTTTGATACTCATAAAGTTTATTCTCAGCTGGGATCTGATTACGGGTGGGGAAATGGGAAACCACTAATGGAACTTAAAGAAAAGTGCAGTTTACAGATTTTCTTATATTTCTGTCTAATCTAAAAACAGAAATTTATTGAAAGTTAATATAATAAATTTATGTTTTAAATATACTTGAAAACTTTGCATACAGTAAGTGACATGTGAAGATCAAATTCAAAAAAAGTCATTCTCTCTCTCACTTGAGATACAGATTTATCTAGAAGCTTCCATTTATTTATTTTCTTACCTGTAAAATGAGAATAAGAGAAAAGCTTCTCATCCCAGCCCTGAGAACTTATGAGTGGGTATAACTGATAATATTCTGCCATTCAGGAACAAATATGTAGAAACTATTTTAGTTTTAATAAATGTAGACTCTGTCCCCTGGAGGAATAAGCTCTAGCTAATTATGTTTTTCAGGCAACTGTAAAATGTTACATTTTCACACAATTATATTCATAAAAATATTATTGTGATCTTGACAATTACTATTCATTTATATCTAAGAAGTTATTTCTGTCTAGCAAACTGGCATTCCTTACTCATTTAAAGTCAACAACATATCAAACAATTACCAGGACATCCTGAGGTGTATTCTGCAGCAAGGAGCGCTGAGAGACACCTGGTGCTCCTTCACAACTGACTGTATATAAAATTCCCCACCCCAGAAAAGGGGAAAAAGAGAAAACATCTTTTAGGATTTGCTTTTTAAAATAACTTTTCTTATCTCAGAAGACTGCACAAATGGCATTAATATACTAAGGCGTATTCCCAAACTTCCAAGGATACAGTTTAAACATCTGCTGTGATCATATGGTTATTGAATTATCCTTGAAAGTGAGATATCAAGAGTAAAATTATCCTTTGAAGAGCAAACTGTGCCCAAGGACCTCTTTAATTTCTTTACAGAAACTATCATTTACCCATAAGTACTCGACACTTTTACATGTCATGAATTCACCAGTCTAAGCTCTTTCTTTTGCAGTGAGCACTCAGGGAAAATCATGTTTGAGGCCACAAATATTTCTTTAAATTCTGTCAATAGTTTCTCTTCCTCACATTATTCCTAGTTCAAAATGAAATATCTAGAATTATAAAACTACAATTTCTAGGTAAATATTCAGATAGCATATTGTTAAATACGTATTGAAATTCCATCTTTAATAATTTCAGGAAGCGTGAAGATACAATAAGAACACCTGTTTCATTCTTCCACAGTCTCCAAAAAATATCTAATAAGTTATTCTATAAATAAATCACTATGCTTTTGTACTGATGTAAGTTTGCACCAACCCAGCAATTTCCCAATGGCTGCCTCAGACTCTAACAGGAAATAAGACGGGAAGTGAACTCATTCTGGGCAGGTGGGAGACCAGAACAGGAGGTAAGATTAGAGGAAAGGAATGAATAATTAGAGCTCAAAGTCGAAGTGAGGCTTTAAAAAACTGTACCTGCAAGGCGTTTTGGGGGAAGAATTGGGGGAGACATAGCAAGCTGTTGCGAACCACGCTTGATTAAATCAGCACACAGCTATAAAAGAAGGCTCTCAAACCCAGCTAACAGAGGTCAACGTTCCTCATCCAAGCTCTGCAATAATTACAAATTGAATGCAGTACTTTGGCACAAATAGGTAAAATACGGAGGAATCAATAAGGATTTGATTTTAAAATTCTCAAATTTAAAAAATCTCAACAACTGTTGGAGGAAGAACAATAAGAAAAGGATTTTTAAAAATCTGAACAACTGTTGGAGGAAGGGCTGCCTAAATGTACCCTCAGAAAGCGATGCCTCATCAGCTCCTCTTCCTCGAACTAAAACCCAGAAGTCTTTCTGGTACCAGACACCAGAATCACGGCCAAAGAAGCCAGTGTGCGGTCTCCAGGGACTGTTATGTTCCTCCGAAATGAGTCTTTGTATGCTTTGGGGGGTGTCATTACCTGAAAACTGACAAAGTCAGGGAGGCATAGCTGCCAATAGACAGATGCGGTAAATGCACAAAGGCAGAGCGGCTTTATCTGAGAAGCACTTTGCCAGGCTTCCACACCAACCCAACTTCATGGCAGTCTGGTCTCTCAAGGGACTATGAAGGAACGTGAAGGAAGTACTCACTTGGAGACGTATTACTCCCATCTACAGCACTCCAAGTCACTAGCAGAGATCTCAATGGAGAGCAAGGCTCAGGATTTCAGCATTAAGCTTGCCTTTCAATCTCTTAACTCAGAAATAGGAGGGCTTAATAATCTTTTCATCCTGACTTAAGGGAGCTAATCCTATTAAGGGTTTAGCATGCCTGGGAATTTACCTGCTTCACTGTAGGTCTAAGGATTTGAGGCTACTGGGGTCATGTCACAGAAGACACAGGAGCATCTCTGCAGGGCAGTCTCATGTTTGAAGCATTCCTGCAGTGTACAAGATTAACCAGGCTGCAGGGCTTCGGCGCTCGGATAACCTACCTGCCACTCTGGTCTGAGGTCCATGTAACTGATCGCCCTTCGGGTTAGTTTTATACCATATCCTGATAGCATGAGGAAAGTCAGTAGCTGTCTGAGCCCCTGTCTTCCTGATCTGTAAGCTCCAAGTGTCAGTGTCAAAGAGGAGTTCCCCACAGCCAGCAGCCTGGCTGCAGCGAGTATGTAGTCAATTGCTCCCTCCAACGATTTGCAGAGCAAAGTCACAAGTTCACGTACAATCTGATTCCACAAGGCTCTCAGAAACAACAGTGAGCTAGGAGACCTTTGTAAATTTTTCCATACCTGGCACAGCAGCAACATCCACCCCTCCCTGGAAGGCTTTTAACACAGATAAATCACAGCAGTCAACACTAGCAAAATCCTCACTCCCATGATTCCCTGTGTCACAGCAGTACTTCGAGCTAGAAATCCCAGAAGCATGTTCCTGGTTGTCATGGTTACCATCTTTATTAGAAGTATCTTTTTCACCTTTACTACAAATTGCAAAATCATTATATTCCGTTTCAGATGAGAAGGTCCTTTTTGTTTGTCACAGGAACATGGCGGGGGCTCAGGCATCCCCAATTTGCAGGCTTTGTTTGACTCTGATTGTGAACTTCCTCGATAGAAGCGATTCTGTTTCTTGAATCTGTTTCCGTCCTCAAGGAAAAGCACTATGGTCCCTCAATGACTGACTTGACTTTCCAAAATCCACATCCAAATCCAGCACATAGTGCTTCACTAGTATGTGGCTGGTGTTGGCCATGAGAGGCAGGTCATCTCCGGCAGGAATCCAGCTGTATGTCCATGATGTAGTTTACTGTTTGAGAGATTTCTTAAATCTCAGATGGGGCTTCCCTATCTGCCTTAATCTTCCAGAATCATAAATAGCTGCTTATCAAAAAACAACTGATGTCAGAGATTATGGTTCCACAACTTTCAATCTCACAGCAAAAAGCACAATTAGACAAAATGCCAAACAAGACCTAAGTACTCCCGCAGCTGCAGCTCTGCAAATTGGCCACCGTCCTAAATAATTCCCCAAGTGGTGGATGCTGGTGGCTGGAAGGCTGACTAATCTTTTTTACTGACATGAAAGAAAGCTGCATTATGGGTTTCTAAAAATATTTCAATTACCAGAGTGGATGTACGGGCCTCCACAAAAACCAGAAAAACATGCTCAATGAGAAATGTCCTTCTTTTTAGAAAACAACAATTGTTATGCAAAGTGTAACTCAGCATCACTGTGCCTATGGTCATAAAGATATTAAATGTATCCCTTCCAATTTTGTGCATCAAAAGATAAGTGATTGTTTTTCCACACTGTGAGATTCCAAGTAACAAGTGTGAATGAAGGCTAAATGGCCCCATACATTTTATTCTTTGAGAGTAATAATTTAATACATACAATGTAACTCCAGGGATTAATGTACTTTTCACATTAGGACTGCTCTCATATCAACTTCAGTAAATTACAGGGAAAATGAGCCGATTTACCAGGAGTGCATTCTAAGTATTCCTTTAAAAGGATTGTTCATGGAGATTTTCAAATTTATAGTTAAATACTCAAATTATATCATTACATCTTAATAGCTGAAAACCCATTAACATTCTGGATAATAGCCTTCTTGTAGAAACAAAGGTCTTCTCACTTGGAAAAAAAAGCATCACAAATACAAAGGGGAAAGGAGAGAAATTAAAATGTAGGAAACAGATGTTACAATAAAATGCACAAGTTCTTCATAAAAGTTCTGAATCAAAATGTATTCTTATTGTATACTAGCAATCTAGCTAAAGAAAATTTTGAAATTATTTCCAGTCCCTGTTATTGTACCTAATTTCTTTCAGCATATACTCTTCTTTTTTATTCTTTTACCAAAACAAAAAAGAAATGGCAGAAACAGAAGAAAAACTCTGACAGAGTAGATATATTTAAAATAATTTTGTTTCCTAAATATCAGGAGGCATTCTTTCAACAACTACAAAACCCCCTGCATTACATGGCAGATTTTCAAGTAAATCAAGCCCCTCCCTTTGACACCCCTAACTCCTCCTCACTTCCTACCAGTTTTATCTGCATCTCTACTAGACCCTTTTCTTTTATTTGATTTCCTTCTAAATCTCATTCTTGAATTTAACATCCATTGATTTCCACTTTATACCTCTCCACAGACTATTTCCTCTTAAGATCTCACCTAACCTTAAAAAAATCCTGTCCTCCAGCCCATACAGTTCAGTTTCTATCTACTTTTCCAGTCATAGAGGCAACGTTCCCTGGCATCCTCGTCCTCCAGCCAAAGGCGGACTCAAAGAAACCCCTGCTTCCTGAGGACCGACTCTAGGCCGACCCAGGCCTTTTGGACTAACCCATGTGCTGGGCGGTGGTGCTCCTGCTCTATGCCCTCCCACCTCCACCTGCCAAATCCTGTTCTTCCCTCCATGTCGGTTTAAGTGCAACCACCTCCTGAAACCCTCCCCCTGGTCCTTGCTCCTCCCCCCACTGCATTGTGTGTGGCACACTTTCCAGTGCAATAGGAGTAAGAGAGAAGCAAGGATGCAAAGAAGAGTTTGAATTTACTTTATGGAGAAGCTGGTATTTCCCTTAGCCCTAGAAAGATCATGAGCTTGGGGGGATAAGCCAGAGTATTTTCTGTCCTGTGTTTTGAATAACCTTCAATAAAGCCGTGGCTATTTCTATGTAATGAGAAACAGTGATCTTAAACCTTCATTCTGATGGTGGCTGTGGCTGCGAACATACAGTATTTTGTTGACTAGGCATCTTTAAAAACTTGTTTGATTAAAGCCCTGAACACATACACACACTCACACACACACAAGAAGGAAAAGCCCTGAATACACACACACTCACACACACAGAAGAAGAAGCTGAATACACACACACTCACACACACACAGAGAAAGCCCCTGAATACACACTCCACACACACCCACTCACACACACACTCACACTCACACACACACTCACACACACACTCCCACACACACACTCTCTCACACACACTCATACACACACACTCACACACACACAGAAGGAAGAATCCTGAATACACCTCCCACACACACAGAAGGAAAGCCCTGAATACACACACACACTCACACACACAGAAGGAAAGCCCTGAATACACACACTCACACACACACCCACTCACACACACTCACACACACACACACTCACACACACACACTCACACACACACTCCCACACACACACTCACACACACACTCACACACACTCCTTACACCTCACACTCATACACACTCACACACACACTCCACACACACACACAGAAGAGAGAAAGCCCTGAATACACACACACTCACACACACACAGAAGGAAAGCCCTGAATACACACACACTCACATCTTGAAGGAAAACCCTGAACACACACACACTCTCACACACACACAGAGAAAGCCCTGAATACACACACTCACACACACACAGAAGGAAAGCCCTGAATACACACACACTCACACACACACAGAAGGAAAGCCCTGAACACACACACACACTCACACACACTCACACACACACACACACACACTCACACACTCACACACTCACACACACACACAAAGGGAAAGCCCTGAATACACACACACACAGAAGGAAAAGCCCTGAATACACACACTCACACACACACACAGAAGGAAAGCCCTGAATACACACACTCTCACACACACACACACTCACACACACACTCCCACACACTCACACTCCCACACACACACACTCACACACACTCACACACACACTCACACACACACTCACACACACACTCACACACACACAGAAAGCCCTGAACACACACACACACACTCTCACACACTCACACACACACTCACACACACAGAAGGAAAACAGGCATCAGTGAGACAAAGGTCAGTTTAGTGGCTGGCTAAACTATCATATTCAGAGAAAAACAGTTTAGCATTTTTAACATAGATATAATTATTTATTGTCCAACTCTAACAGATTCCCTAAATTCACTACAAAGTTTAGTATAATTTAAGTATAAAACACATTCTACAGAACAGTTCTCACCACTTTTGTTCCTGGTGGCAGAGAATGAGGCTGCCCTAGAGCCCCACCCACTCAAGCCTGTTAGCAGAACCACTGTTAGGAAAAGCCACGGCTGGCCTTCCAGTAGCTAACCGGCCGCCCCTCTAAAATCAGCGCACTCGTGGCATGTGTCTTAAGTGATGAAAGCGTCTGTCACCTGACTGACAATCCATTGGTTCTCTTTAGCCCAGTTCTTCCGCATACTCTCCATAAGCAATTCTAACACCTTAACCTTTCCAATTCCATGCTTGCTGTCATTCTCAGCTGAGATTTGGCCCCCTGCTTTGAGATAATTCTGAATCTCTGCAGCTCAACCATATCTCAAAGTATCATTAGCTCTTCATAAGTATTACCTTCTCTTGATTCAGAAGACAATATCCCTTCTCTCACCAAAGCTTGTTTAGTTTATTCTGCCCCACTGAATCCCAACTTCTGGGGTTTTGAGAGAGCCAAATAAATAGCACATTCCTCTCCCATCCAGATTCTGAATGTAGCAAAAAATAAGATATGGCAAGGCACACCCCGACATATCGTCATTACTACTGATGAAGACGAAACTGAAGAACATGGCTTACTGTGAGAGCCAAAGGTAGCTGGAAACTGAATCCCAAAGTGGGATTTATCAACATGGTCACAGGCAATGCTTCCAGAAGGAAGGTGGCCTCCCTCAGGTAAGATTTAAGGCCTGGAGGAAGAGAGAATGGCTCTCTGCGGTCAGGATTGTTGCCCAAGCGCAAAGGGAGGACATGAGCAGGCACATCCTGTCTCCTCTTTAAAATTTATCAAGACTAAGTCACTCCAGATCCCTTAGGATAAAGGCACTGGGATCAGGAGTGTTACACTGACTGAACTCCCCCAGCAAGGAAGGAAACATGAGAAGTGGGGAAGAAGTGTTCTCTCAGCACCCATCCCCTTCCACTTACTTGAACCCTGTTTCATTTGACATTTTTCTCTTGCCAACATTTTATCCCCCTCAATGATTACACCCTGTTCTGAACATTCAAACATCCCTAGGGTTGCGGGCTCAAGCAATCCTCAGCCTCCCAACCTCCCAAGTAGCTGGGACCATAGGTACGTGCCACCACACTCATCTAACTTTTTAGAATTTTGTACAGATGAGGTCTTGCCATGTTACCCAGACTGATCTTGAACTCTTCAGCTCAGGTGATCTACCCTCAGCCCCCAAAGTGCTGAGATTACAGGTGTGAGCCATCACAGCCAGCCTTAAGTTGCCATCTTTTTCTTTTTTTTTTTTGAGACAGAGTCTCGCTCTGTCACCCAGGCTGGAGTGCAGTGAGTACGATCTCCGCTCTGCAAGCTCTGCCTCCCGGGTTCACGCCATTCTCCTGCCTCAGCCTCCCGAGTAGCTGGGACAACAGGCGCCCGCCACCACACCCGACTAATTTTCTGTATTTTTGGTAGACGGGGTTCTGCCGGTGTCAGCCAGGATGGTCTCGTCTCCTGACCTCGTGATCCTGCCCACCTCGGCCTCCCAAAGTGCTGGGATTACAGGCGTGAGCCACGCGCGGCCTAGAGGTTGCCATCTTTAAAAACAATCAACAACTTCATTTGGCCTACTTTAAGTCATCTTTATTTCACTGAACTTTGGGAACTGAAAATTCCTTGAGGCTCACTCAATCCAACTCTCTAATTTTACAAATGAAGACAGCCCCGAGTCCCAGACAAGGCAAAGCAATTTGCTCAAGGAGTCACCCAGTTCTTTTT